TATTCTAAGAGTCATTAGTCCTATCTATAGGCAAAATTTCAGATCAAAATTCGATAGTATAATTTTCTAAAAAGTCCCTTATCATTGATTAAATATCCAGCAAAACGATCATAATTCCAGAAGCACGGCACATGGGCTCTTATCTTTTCAAGATTTTTCTAGCCTTATTGGACTCTACTTATACATAAAATTTCAGCCTCAAAGCTCTGAATCACCTCGGTTGGGTGTGGATGTGGATGCAGGTTTCTAGCTTCTCTTAGCTCACACCTACCCTTTACTTTTCATCGATATATTTCTACTCATCAAATTTTTTGATGTTTATTCTGTCTTAATCCAATTAAAAAGAATTCCTTTATTTTTATAAAGAAAACGTTTTTTTACTTGCATTTTCCTTATGTTTGTTTCTAAAAAAAAGAAAAGAATATAGTCACGTAAGGTATTTATTACATTCTGTATAAGAAAAAACACATTATTTACTTGTTCAAAGTTAACAGGGTGTGGGTGGGTGTCTTGCCTTCATATTTCATCCGCACTCTCACTATCACCCAAACCCACACCCTCACACACCGCTTGTTTGCAGTCGACTGATGATGATGATAATGATCGTAGTATATTGGTTCTTGTTTAAGCTATGGTCTCAAATGAAGGAGATGTGATTGTATAATTTCAAAATATTATTTGCGATTCTGTCATGTAGTGTCATTTCATGGATCGATCTCACATCAATAGAACATAGTTACCAGCGATTTCGTATTAACAAAACGAACTAACATAAAAGACAATTGTTAGTACGACCAAGACAATGGTGTTTAGTGGATATCATGTAGAATAAAATGAAAAGAAAAAAGTTATTCATTGTATATTGTCATGTTGATTGCTAAGCTGATGCAGATTTTACCTGATTTTGAATAACATAGTGTTTTTAAGAAAATCAGAGGACTATTCGAGAACTAACTGATTTGTTTAAAGTTTCTTTTGAAAACTGATCGAAAAAGTATCTCGTTCAGCTTCTGATTCATGGTATATTTGATATAGGATTATGGAAAATCTCGAGCGTTGGTAATTTTGATGGCGAATTAATGATGCTGTGAAAGAATATGATTTATGTATTTATTTATGAGACGGTAAAAACTATGACAATCTTTTGTTTGCGCTGTAAACTTATGTACGACATTATTAATGACAGTTAACACATATTTTTAGTGCGACAATGATAATATAATATTTCAAGTCTATTCAACAGCAAGAACTGTTTCAATAATTACTGGTATATACCTCGAAGATTGATGTCATCTTCAGGGCAATAATTCACAAAAGACATATCTTCGAACATATATTTTCATCAAAATCAACTCATCAGAATTTTAATCAATCGGTTTCTGATAGTCGTTCTAATATAGGCACATCTACTATTGTATTCCTTGTTGATGAAGAAAATATTCGTGCTTTTTTCACATATCAAAATTAACAAGATCAGAATACACATTTACTGTGAAAGTTTTTTATCAGTGTTTCGAATAAGCATAACCCAAACCCAAAAACTTAAACTCAAACCATTTGGTAGTTTGGGACACGTCTAAGACAATAATAACATTTATAATAGTCTATTATTCTGAAAATGTTTTTCGAGAATTTCCTAGAAGATGATCAACTATAAGTTATAATACTTTTGCTTTTAGAATGAATTAAATCATATCGTAATGTTAATTAGTTATGATGATCATACTTTTTTGTTTGTTTCATTTTAGATGACACTAAACCTCGTCAATTTTAACAAAAAAATATAATAAAAGGCAACATTTAGAGGAATTTTATAAAAAAAATATTTGAACCAATCTTTGAAAAATTTGTTAAATAAGAAAAATTTTATGTTGTTAAATCACCGGTTGATGATGAAAATGATGATGTGATATCAACTGTTTTGGATAAATAATTTCTAAGGGATTCAATAAGTGTTAATTGAGCACTGGCAAGAGAACTATTAATTAAATATTGAGGAAGCCAACCCTAAAAAAAAGTAAGTCTTCTTTATTTAATAAAATCAATCATATATTTTCATACTTTTAAATCAACATTTAATAACCATGTAAATTTACAAGTTGTATCATCAATTTTTTCAACAATGTATGCAGTTGGACCATTCTCACCTCTGATATGTAATAAAGTAAAAAAAATTTGATACAAATTTCATAGAACTTACCGAACACAACTAAATCAAAATAAATAAATAAATATAAATAAAAAAACTAAATAATTTCTTCTTACTTGTCTTTTGCAGGCATTGGTGGATAATTACAAGCTTGCCCAGCTAATATAGCAATACCATCAATATATCGACGTATTGATAAATTTACAAAATCTCGTTTCGCTATTATTCCTTGTGCTTGTTCATTAATTAATTGATAACTAAAACAAATCTGTAATTTTAATATACATTCAATTTGATAGATAACTTACGATACATATAAATCAGTATTAATAACTTCTAATATCTATGAAAGAAGAAAATAGACTTTTGTATAATATATAACAAACTGTATACACATACTCTACAATCATTCACAGTTGGATTCCATTTCGACATATCTTCTTGACGTTCAAATAATATTTCAACTAGATCCTCACGAGATCCTGTAACAGTACTCTGGAGAAAAAAAGATTTCTATATTCCTATATATGTATATTTATTTCTTACAGTTAATCGAAATATTTTTCCCCATTTTGGAAAATTCTTCGCAGCAATAACATCAAGTCCATCACTACTTTTAGATTCCGGTATCCAACAATTATTATCTTGATATATACCCCAGATTCTTTCAATAATTTCATCGGCTTGTTTACCATATTCATCATCATTATAATCTTCAATAACTGATGTTGGTGTTCCTAACATTGATTGTGATATAGTAGAATCCGAACGAATATTTCGTACTGGTTGTATATTAGTTTCCTCTGCATCACTACCTAAAATATAAATTTATTATTGATTATTTTTGTTTAAAAAGAATTTTTTTTCAAATAAATTTATTTAAACTTCTTGCCCTGTGTTGACATTTGAAATCTGTTGATTCGGTTAAATCACCAATGGTTTCTTTGTGTTATTCACAAACAAGAAAGAAAAGAAAGTTATACATCTGTTTCAATGATATTTATAGTCAGCTGGTATATTCTTATTTTTTTTTCAGTTAAATTATACATAAAAACAGTATGGCGTCAGTCTATCTTTAGTATACCTTCAATAGATGGAACAGGCGAATAGAATGATTGTCCACGTTCATCAGAAATATTTATGGAATGATAATTAGAAGTTGGCGGAATTGGAGATGTTGATCGACTTGAATTTGAACCTAATAATGGACGCCGATCATTATGATTTACTGATTCAAAAAAAAAATCATAGATTATGAATGGATTAATTAAGCAAGCCTTACATGCTTCTCGTAAACGACGTTCATGAGGAATAACACGATAGCTAAAAATAATTTATTAATTATATTCAAAACAAAACAAAACAACATACTCAAAAAACCAGATTTCAATCCATGCCAAAATAAATGATACAATCAATATTCCATAATCAGTAAAACCTTTGTCTGATTTAGAAATCTATTTAAGAAAAAAGATTCAATTACATTCCTTTAATATATTATGTTCTTTTTTTTTATTTACAGTAAATACACATGTTTTAGCAATGATAAAACCAGTTGAACCAAGTGTTGCAAACTAAATAATAATAATAATAATCTCTATATTTGATTTCAGTACTCAACAACAAAACAATAGTCGTTCCGTTTTATTCTAAAGCCTTATATCTATGTGGTATTTTTATACTTTATGACAGTGTCATTGTTTTTTTAAGATAAGAAATGTAATCGTTCTAATATTTTTCATCATACGCTACTTACTTACAGCTACAAAAATCCAATGTGACCATTTCAAAATTGCATATGCTATCATTAATAAAATAAAACGAAGTAATGATAATCCCTATATAAATAATAAGTAATCTATTTTTATTCGTTTTGTTTTTTTCTCAAACTTACAACAACATCAAATAGAGAAGTTTTTATTGAATATTTAATAACATCATTTATAAAAGCTTCATCAATTGTTATATTTTTAATCTGAAATTAATAATTTTTAAATTTATATTAAAATCATATTTTTCAAAACAAACTTGATTATAAATAATCCATAAAAGTCCCATAAATATAACATCGAATGTAACGATTAATAAAAATGTACGACGTACTTGAAACATTCGTTTATTTGTAATTGATGGACTTCGACTATATAAAGCATTTAATGGAAAAGTTCTTGAATCATTTGATAATTGACTAGCAAAGAAGTCTTATTTAAATCTAATAATATTTAGAATTTAACATACGTTTGATAGTGATCTGTTAATTGTCCATTCACTTGATTTAATGTATCAGATCTACAAATTAAAAAAATGATTCAATCTGTTTTTGAAAATTTTAAGAAATTAAATTAGCAAGAGCAGCAATGATTAACATACACTGTTGGTTGAGAATTTATATGTCTATGTTGATTCATTATTAGTATTATTATTAAGATTGTCTATAGAAGAAAAAACATGCAAGATACAACTATTCTGTCACCTATATGACGTTCTTTTTCATTATGAAAAAACAAAGAAATGTAGAAGATAAATATTTATTTAAAAAAATTATTTTCGTTTTTTTTTTATTCTGTTATATAAAAGATCCTTGTTCTTGAGCAAAATTACTCATTAAATGATAAATTAAAAAATTTTGTTTCGTATAAAGTATATGTCGATTATGATTTCTTTGTTGAAGTTCATTATTATTTAATGTTAATATAGATGATAATGATGTTGATGATGGTAATGATCGTTCACTTTTATTTGATTGTTTATTTAATGATGAAAATGAGAAAATTGAATGTTTAAGATTTTTATTACTTGCTGAACTTGTTGAATTTAATGATCTTGTATGGTCAACATTTTTATTATCTTTAACATTTATTTCAAGCGTTGATTGTGCTTCTGTTTCAATAGTAAATGTCATTTGTTGATATGAAAATGAATATTCTTGTAATTTTGTTTGACGATTTATTAAATGAACACCAACATCATTGACACATATATATACACTTGTACGACGAGAATTATGTTCATGTTCACCTAAATAATACAATTCTCAACATACATAGATTTTTCAATAAAATTTACCTGTAAAAAATGACGAGGGATCATCCATGAAGGACGCCAAGACAAACAGGATCAGCGGAATGGGTCAGGGTGTGATTGTGGGTGAGAGTAAAGAAATGAAGCCCACATCCTCACCCTTTTTGGGTGGATGCGTGTGGATGTGGACTCCATTTCTTTACGCTCATCCACATCCGTTACACCCGCCCACCCACACCTGGTATACCCACACCCTCAAGATGGACGATTGGCTGTAGAAAGACCGAACAAAAAAAATGTCGACGCAAGAAAGTCCGAAAAATAAATATCGAAGTCATTTTTGTCGAAAAAAAAGTGTCGACCACATAAAACGTCGAAAGTTTCTAGATGTTATCATCAAACTATTGTTTTTTCTCTTAATATTATTCACTAAACTTTCACTGATTAGTGAATCATTTAGTCCAATAAATTATTGTGTAAAAGAGTGTTCTAGAACCCCGAGAAACTGAGATAACAAGGATGTGGGTGTGGCTATTGTATTATTGTGTCACCCACGCACACACACATTCACCCACACTCTCACCCGCATCTTCACCTACAGCCGCACCCACACCCTTTCGGCATTTATTTTTTGGTATTTTTTTTTCGATATTTATATTTCGACATTTATGGCGTCGACATTTTTTCTTTCGGTCTTTTTACAACATACCAGATGGACGTCCTGTGTGGATGACTCCCGAGCCATAACTAGTTAAATTTTGTGCTAAATTAAGAAATTGCATTTTAAGATAAAGTGTTAATTGTGATCGATTTTGCATTGTTTGATCGTCAATAAAAACTTCTTTATAACGTTTAAGAATAGTTCGACGCCAATATATAATTCCTGCACGTTTTAATTTTTCCGCAGGAATTAATAATGAAATATTATTTGAATCATTATATAAAAAATTTTCCCATAATTTATCGTCTAATTGTTTTTCATTAATTCCCATCATTAAAACAGCAAATTCAATTGCATCTTCATCTGTACATGGATAATAAGCTAATAAATAATTTTGATATGCTTCAAGAAATAATAAATGTATAACATGCGGAATACGAAGACGTTGTTCAAATTCAATTTTAAGTAATGTATCACGTGACCACCATAATTGTGCATCTTCAGAATTCGAATTTAATTTTGGTGATGATGATGATGAAGGATTTCGGAGTGTTGATTCACTTGGAATTGTTGTTAATTCACTTGCATAACGTTTCCAATTAAGTAAAAATTGAACTGGTTTATGATCAGGATTTAATTGTATTCGAACACTTTTTGAACAAATCCATATACCAAATACATGTGAAACTTCATTTGGTAAACGTAAACGTGTCATCATTTGTGTATGTAATTGACGAACAGTTGTTTCAGCAGGACCAGAAACAAGATCCAATTCAATCGTACTACCATCAGCAAGACAAATTTTGATTTTTTCAAGCTAAAATTATATTTTCGTAATAAAAATAAATCCTTTTTTTTTGTTTTCAATTTAATTACAGGTTTTTGAAGAAACTTTTCGATTAATTCAGTACATGATTGCCAATCACGATTTGGATTTTGTTGACAAAAATCAAGTGCTGTTTTACCATCTTTATTTTTTGCATGCTAAGATTATATTTACAAATTAAAAAAAATAAAAGCAATTTTCTTTGTTATAAACATACCACATTAATATCTGGACAATCAAGTAGAATTCGAATGGTTTCTGAACGACCACCTAATGCAGCTAAATGTAATGGACTCATATGTGAATTATCAACTGCATTCACGGAAAAACGTTTCGAACGAAGTAATAATTCAACAATTCGATGATGACCATGCCTATACGAATAAAAAACAAATTCTCAAAATCCATATATAATAAATTATACCAAGCAGCATGATGAAGTGGTGACCATCGATTCATATCATGTTCAAGTGTAACAGGTGAAAATTCCTGTAATAATCTTCCAACAACTTCAATTTGACCATTTTGACATGCCAAATGTAAAGGATATTCTTCGAGACTATTATTACGATTTCTAAATTAATAAAAATATTTATTTTATATATGAAAATTTTTTGATAAACCTTTTCAGATTTCGTGAACTAATTGCTGATCCTAATCCACGACCATTTCGTCGTCCACCAGTATCAGATGTTATTCGTTGATGAACAACTCGAGATGATTGTACCGAAACTGAATCAAGCTAGAAGATTTCATAGATTTAAAATCTTTTTCTTCAATATATGTATATATATACATGAGTAACTAAAGGTTCATCATTCGATGCAAATAAATCATCGAATAAAAGATTGGATACAATTATATCACAACGTTCATTATCATCAATTTGATCAAATAATTTATTTGCAGCATCGATGATTGATGATGATGAAGTCTAGCTAAAGGAAAATATCATGTTTGCAAACTATTCGATTGAAAGAAATAAAAAAAACTGATACCTCGGATTTATGCATTTACATATGTATTTATAATTGTTTAAAAACAAAATAAATCTTAAAGAAAATACAACTAATAAAATGAATATGCATAACAAAGATGAGCAACCAAAACTAGATGAATATGTTTACTGTTTGATATTTAGAACAAAAAAAAGGTGTGTTTGTAACATAATTAATATAATAATCTTTTTCTAAAAATCTTCAACCATATCCAATCATGATAAATATATATATATGAAAAGAAAGTTAAAATTATCGTTTAAAAGAGATTAAAAAAGAATAACGCATTGTTTTTTTTCTTCCCAAATGAAACATATACATAACAATAAGATTGTATTTCTATTCATTCTCGTTTTTTGTCAGCTATGTTATAGCCTCCATCAACAGTTGTTTCTTCAGATGGATAAATACTTGGTTTTTCTCCGGGCTTTAGAAGACGACCAACAATATCATATTTTTCTTGAAAGAAAAAGAAATAAGAAATACAGTTTTCAATTTAAAAATATTTACCACGAAAATCTTCATGCCAATTTCGAGCTGTTGATCGTTCTTTATCAGTAAGATCAATAAGATCATCATACTCATTTGAAAATAATGATGGATCTAATTGCATTTTAGATAATGCACGTGTAGCATCACGTCCAGCAAATAACGAATATGATCCTTCTATAATCAAAATAAAGTCTTCAGCATGTGACTCGTTTCTTTGTCCTTGTTGTCAAGGTTTTCTCCTTTATAGAGAAATGTTATACATATAAATTTCATTTACCTAATCCATATAAATCAACTCGACGACTAACATCAAAAATATCTCCATATATCGCTGTTAGAATTCGTCCATTTGATTCAATTCCATTATAACCACGTAATTGTGCTATTGTTAAATCAGTTTTTGGTAGTTTTGGTAATTGTACGGGTGTTTGTTTTCGACTAGCATTATTTGATGATTTACGTCTTAATAAAACTAATTTTACAAGTAAACATATAATTAAAAAAGCTAAAATAAGATTTATTGGACTTGACCAGATATCATTGATAAGGCGTTGTAATAATACAATGAATTTTTTTACGAATGATGAATCCGTTTTTATTGAATCTTTAGAATCAGGATCCATTATATCTATCTAATAGATATAAAAATAAAATTTTACTAAAGAAAAAAGAACACAAAATATAACAGGTGATGAATATATTAAAATAAAAAACAAAAAAAAAGGAATCATCATTAAATCTAATATGTTCGAGAAGAACCAATCATATCAATGACATTACCGATTGGTTAGAAAATATTCCATTGATGACCACAAACTAACTTGAAAGTCTTTTTTATATTATTTTGATTATAGATTTAATGACATTGATAACATCTTGTTTGATACGTGCTCGTGTAGCAGCATATCGATCTTTCAATCGATTTTATGCAAATTCAGTTACTCGTACTATTGATGTACATTCAGTACCTCAGGATTTATTTGAATCAAAAGCTGAACAACCATTTCGAACATCAACGAATGATCCTGTATGAAATAAATGAAAATTTATTTTCGAATATCTAAACTGTTTTTTTGTTGTTTAGCTTTTACATACAGAAAAAGATTTAGGTTTATTTTATACAGTTAATCCTGAAGATTTAAAAAGAATTAGTCCATTTGGTAAATCATTACCATTACAATTTCGAGAAGAAGTAAAAACTAAAAAAATTTCTTTTCATTTCAAAGAATTTTGTTTTGTTTTAGTGTGAAGCATTTAATGAAACATGTGTAATGATTCGACAACCATCAATTGATATTATTAAATTAATGAAACAAATTGATTGGAATTTACCTCCACTAAAAGTCGTACTTTGTAAGAAAAAAATTTATTCTTTTATATAATCGAGTTTCTTATTCTTTAAAAAAAGTTCCATCTGAACTTGGTGTTGGAATGAGTTTATCTCTTTTTCATGTTTTACATTATGGTCTTCGTAAGAAAATGTTACTTGTCAATACACCAACAGGTTAGTTCATTAATGATCAATAATAAAACTATATTAAAAGATTTTCTATTTAGCTGCGGAAGTTTTAAAATTAGCATTAGATGCAACACCATCACCCAACAATGAACTGATGTGGGATACACCTACAGCAGCAAGTAGTTGGCTTAAAACATTTGCAATTAATAATGAAGAATTACTTAAAGAAACTAATGTAAATATTTAATGAAATTTACAAATCATATCTAGATGTTTTATTTTAGTTTCGAACAAAATTTACTTATACATGGAGTGCGAGAGAATCAACACCAGCTGGAACACATCTTCTTGACCTTATTGGTTATGTAAGTCGATTTATATATGAACTCAATAATTAAATCATAAATATAATTTTAGGCAACCGAAAGAATAAAATATGCTTCCGAATGTGTTGGTGCTATTGTTAAAGAAGTGAAAACGCAAGTGAAAGAAAAAAAGTATATTGATCTCTCTTTTTTTTTGTTTTTATTCATCTATTTCTTTATTTAATTAGTATTCAAACATTAGTAACATTTGATACTATTAATAGTTATTATGGACCAACATGGATTGTTAAACCTGATAAATCAACTGTATTTCTGATTTTGTTTTCTTCTTCTTATAAATAAGTCTTCTTATTAAAGGTAAAACCAAATGAAGTAACAATGGTTAAAGCTTTACAAGAATTATTATTACCTGATTGGAATAATGCTTTTATTGTTGTTACTATTGGTCCAAAAGGTGTTATCATACCAAAAGTACGTGAAAAACGAAATTGGCTTGTTAGACATGGACATTATCGTACAGAACATCGTTTACCAGGTGTTCTTATGTATGATGAAGCAATGACAGTGAAATCATTATTAAGAACTGAAGTATGTTAAATTGAATTATTACGAGAGAAAAGAGATAAAAATTAATTTTTCTTAGGGTATTGAAGCACTTGAACCATTTGTACCAATTCAAGTCCAAAAATATACCGATGATGAATTTAATAATCAATATAGATATTATATTGATCGTAATTGGATACAAAATCATCGTGGTCGAGATGAAGAAGGTCGAAAAGAAATTCTTTTTTATACCGCTAAAAATCCATATGAAATGGCTAAATTTGTTGGTTCTCGTTAGCATCTTGAAATAAAGATCGATTTGTTTAGGAATTATTACATATATATATATATTCTTTTTATTCAATACTTGAGAAAGCTTGTTTATTCAAAAAAATATCTGTGTACAAAATGATAAGAAAAGATTCATTCAGAAGTTTGTTTTTAAACATTCATAGGAAATGTATCTGGTACATGTTCTTTTTCTGCTTCTGCCCATGATGGATGAATTTCTAATGGTCGTAATGCACGTGTAGTTTCTATATGAATAACACAATCAAATTGCGTTGAAATATTTGCATTAAGATAATGTGATTGTCGTTCAGTACGTGGACGATAAATAACACCGATTGCACGTTCTAATCGTTTTTTATATAATTCACTATGTAATTCTTTTGAAATTTCAATCGATGGATTATTCGAACGAAAAAGAAGATAATATTGTCCATTTTCCGATAGATTTGAATTTTTTATTAATGCGTCATGTAAAAGAAATTCAATACTTTCATGAAGTGATGCTCGAACATGTTTAAAATCTGGATCCATATCCCAATTATCTGCTGCTGTTACCGTTCCAGTATATGTCGTAAATCCAATACTATAAGTATTTTCTATACCAAATCGTTCACGAACTAATTGACCAATATTTATTTTATGCGCTCGAAGTTTTTCCGTTTCACGAGCATCGCCAACATGTGAATTATGTGCCTGAAGAGAAAAAAAGGAATATTTTCTTATGTAATCAGAATGAATAATTCTATTACCCAAATAATAGCTTTTGTTCCTGGTCCATAATGCTTAAGTAAATCTTGTAAACAATCGCACATATGTGTATCACGTATATTCCATGTTATTTGTCCACTTTCAAACATATGTCGATAATATTTTTCCGCTTCACGAACAATTTTAGCATTTTCCATTGCATAAAAACATTCATCAATATCTGTATCATTTCCATTATCTTTTGCGATTAATTTCGCATGTCTTTCTAACATTTTTGTTAATACTTTAATCGCTTCTTTTTCACAACTTGATGAAAGATTTGTTCCGGCACAAACACCATACTCATGTTCATCACTATATTTTTCAAAACATCGGTAATTTTTACGAGCGATTTTAGCAAGATCTAGAAAAATAAAAAAAAACGTTTAAATTATATTTATAGAAATTTAACAAACCAGGTGCATTATTTTCTAAATAATTTATAACTTCTTCACGTGATGATTGTAAACTATATAAATCTAAACCAAAAAATCCGATTTTCTTTTTTTCTTCATCTAATTGTTCATTATATTCTCGAAGCCATGTTATAAAATCAAGAACAACAGTATTTCGCCTAGAATATAAAATTCATTGAAAATGAAAGAGATAAAAATGATTAACAAACCACATCCATGATGGAAATCGTGTAAAATCTTTTAGAGCATCATTTGCATCTTTGATTGTTGATGAAGAAATTCCTTTTACCCAACGATTTACTCGATAAGCTGGTGGCCAATCTGCTTCACAAGCAATAATTGTAAAACCCTATTTGAATTCTATCATTAAATATAATATGTCATAATTATATGAAAATTAACTATACTTTTTCTTGAATTAATCGTTTTGTTATTTCAGCTCGATGTGAATAGAATTCATGTGAACCTTAAACATGTCAATATTAGAATATTTAATAAATTGAATTAAATTTTTAATTATACCATGAGATGCTTCACCAATCATTACGATTTCAGCATCACCGATAGCCGATAAAATTGAATCATAATCACTTATCTCATCTTTACGTAAACGTTGTGCACATTCTTGAATTAATTGTAAAGTTTTTGGATTTGATTTTAATGGTGTTGTCATAATAGATATTTGAACAATAACTGTTTATATAAAGAACAAAAGCTAACGTTAATAAACTGTCGCTAGTACATTTAGTATCTATATAATAGATATATTGGGTATGTAAGTTAGCGCTTATTTTTCATTGGTTTTCCACAATGTTCCTTTTTATGGAACGAACGAACGAGCGAGCGATTTTCTTGTTTCTTATTTATTCATCCTCATTGGTTCCGATTCATTTCATTCCGCATTCTCTGTCTTTGTCCTTGAGATTCATATTTTTATTACTTAATTGTAATTAGTCTTTTTATGAAATGTTTTTTTCTCTTATCGAAGGTTAGTCCTAATTTTTTTTTATTAACGAGAAGGTCAAACACACAGTAATCATCTATATTTGTTCATTTCTCTAACCATATGTTTATATGATTACTTCTATATCCTCACAGTATGAATGATGACGATGATAGAATCAAATCATGCTGATTTTTATCGAAAGATTAGAATTACAATCATAAAATATACTTTGATATATGCTAAAAGTGTAAAATTTTTTTTCATATCATGTGATAAATTTTATAAGGGTCATAGTTCAACTTTTATCTGATTGATTGAAAAAAAACATATATATGATATATTGTGATTATTATATAAATAAGATGATAATTGTATATCAACATATGGAAATAATTAAGCAGAAATGCAATGATTGTTTTACATGGATGTACGTAATTAATTCTCATACTGATTAGACTAGACAAGTATATGTCATTGACATAAGATTATTTGTCTGATACTTATGCTTTTGTTTGTATATAAAATTGTTTCAAGTGTATTCTCTCTCTCTTTCTATATTCTAGATGCGAAGACGTGGACGTATTTCTTTCACATTCACTTAACCACCTACTTGGAATTGTTCACTTTTCTTTTGTATTCCAGTAGTGTGGGTGTGTGTCGTAAAATTTGTTGTTTTGTCTACTTCCATTTTTATGTCCTATGCGACGACACCTACCAAAGGTCCATCGACCGTTGATTGCGCAGTCCTAACGGGTAAGAATCATATTACCATTTTTTATCAAAACAATTATTTCAGTTATGGGAAAAGATACATTTTTTTGTCTAATTAATCTTTGTTATGATGAAATCAAAACTGTACTATTTTTTTCTGTTATGTAATAGAAGAGTACATACGTAAGTCCTGTCAATATCTATTACATATATGTATCACAGTACAAGGATATTATAGTTGCGCATGATTCTTTTCATCACATAAAAGAAAAACGTTCTTCAATTTTATTTTGATTACCTCTTTTTTTTCGGTTTATTCATATCAAATGATGACGTCAACATAATAACCTCATGAATATTTCAATCGATATACTTGACTTTCGTTTTGTTCAGTTTCTTTTATTCAAATATATGAATTCTATTTCTTATACATAACATATATATATATGTATTAGAAATCGAATCATTATTTTTTTTCATATATATATAAAATCGAGAAATATGAGAGATTGATAGATTAGTTTTTGATAATGATTGGTAATTATTATTTATGATAATGATTATAATTGATGTAAATTGTTTTTTTATTTAGACATTCATACACAATCAAATTTAGCTGAAGTTGAAATCGTTAGTCTTGTTCAAGAATTAATTCCACGTTATCGTCTACGTGCTGAAACTGATTTTGCTTGTTCAAACGAAGATTTTATACAAACACCACGTATTGACGGTTCCGAATTTGAATCATTAACAAATCCACAAATTCGTGCCCTATTAGATTATTACGGTAAGAATATACGAACTCTTTCTTTCTTTTATTTTTATTCAATTCCTTTCGAACAAATTCCCTGCTTCTAGTTGCTAAATTATTTTTTTAAATTTCCAAGCTTATTTATGGTAATTTGATGTTTGATGTATATCGTAGAACGTTTAGTCTTAGTTTTTATAGTTAAAATTATTTCCAAAATTCATTTTATTCTACTTTTAGCTTCATCTAGTAATCGAATAAGCCAAATGACAAAAACGTATCATGATATAAGTGCTGTAACTCGCATGCTTGAAGATCGCGAAAATGATTTACAAATGGCAGTTAGTTTAGGTCATACATTACTTGAAAGTAATGATACATTACGTAATCAAGTTTCATTACTTGAAAAAGATATTGAACAAACAACTGAAATAGTTAAACAAGTTAAACATGATTTACTTCTTAAAGAACGACTTCTTCGATTCTATACTGATATGGATCTTGATGCAACACCGTCAGAATCAAAGTAAAACATTTTTTGTTTTTGATTAGGCAAAGAAAACTAAATCTATTATTTAGTCAATTTGATGGTCATCATTATGAACAAAAGATTCGTAATCTTGAATATGAAAATCAAGAATTAAGAGCTGAAGTAGGAGGAAATTCCGTTTTAATTTGAAATAGAATATTTTTCTTTTTATAGAGTATGCAATTAAAACTTGAGACAGAAAATTATGAACATCAAGAACAAGCAATAGTTGATCATTTTGCTCATGCTTTAGGTAAATTAATTTATCATAGAAAAGCAAAAACTAACCTAGATTTTTTAAAAATTTAGCCAATGCAAATTCAGATATTGAAATCTTGCAAGATGAAATTATAAAAAAAAATGAAGAAAATGTTAAACAACAAGATGAAATCATACGTTTGTCATATGAAATGCGTGAAATTCATCGTCGTTTAACAGAATTAAAAAAAGAAAATGAAGAATTAAAAGTTCTTTTATCATTAACTGGAAAGAATCGTCATGCATACGAAACAAAAGTAAAAGAAAATTAAATACTTTTTTTTTGTTTTACAAATTGACTTGTTTTGTTTTTTGTTCAGATTGAAGATTTACAAAAAAATTATAGCGAATGTTTATCAAAACTTCAGAAATCTCAACAAGAAATAAATTTTTTACAGAAAAATTTTCTTCAAACTTCTCCTTCATCTCCAATGTCTGATATGAATACAAATCGTCATACTGTTTTCTTATCTCCGACTGAATACGCAAATTTTATGAGTCTGGAAAATTCACTTAAATCAGAACTTGAAGAAGTTCTTGAAGATCCAAATCAACTTTGTCATTCAATAATAACAACAAATAAAAAATCATCTCGTTCTCGACGTCTTAAACGAGGTCAAAGTGATACAGATGGAGAATCATCAATGAATGATTCAGCATTTAGTGATACTGAGAGTTTAAGCAGGTAAAGATTCGGCATGAATACTTCTGTTTGCATTTTTTTCTTATCAATGCTTTATAAACATAGTGCTTCATCATGTCGTTTTTGCCAGCGATCTTCACCTATTCCCATAGATGAAACAAAGTATGCATGAAAATGTTCTTTAAATTTAAAAAATAAAATGATTTGAATTTGATTCAGATCAATATCATCAACAAATGAACGAAGATTACCTTCGGCCATTTCATCTCGATTGAGACTTGTAAAACGATTAGAAGGTAAATTGAAAATCTTCTAGATTATTATGAGATTTTGTTTTTGTTTTTCTCAGGATCGAATATGTTAAAACGATGGCAACAATTAGCTGAACCAAGTTTTTCTTCATGTCTTCAATCAATACCCGGTGTTTATACACGTGCTGAAATTTTACATGAAGTGAACGAAGATAATGAAGATAACTTTATAACACCACAAAATGATTCCGAAGGTTAGAAAAATCAATCGTCATATAAGATCATCTTTCTATATATATATAATTTATTTTTTAGAAAGATTATCATTTAGTCTTGAAAGACATTCACCTGAAATGCCACACTATTCTGAGTAAATTTCTTTTTCTTTACTTTTTTATTTTTAATAGAACAAAAAATATATTTTAGTACAACAACACGTCGAATGAATCTTGTTGAATTATTAACAAAAGAAGGTTTAACTGCACGTACACTTGACTCTTCGGAATCATTTTCAGAATTTGAAAAAGCATTTCTAACCTGTTCACTACCAAATCGTTTTCCTAAATCTACAACGACAACTATACCTGATCCCGATGAAACTGATGATGAAGATGATAATGAACCAACAACTCCACCATCATCTCCAACACATGGTGCTCAATTACAAACAAGTGCTCTTCTTCATCAAGCAATGCAACGTCTAGTTAAATTATCGTTACAAACATTTGAAACACTTGCAACATCTTTTACTCCATCAAATGATCACAATGAAGGTCAACAACGATTACATCCAATAACGACAATAACACCACCATCATCACCAACATTCGATGGACTCGTAGCCCCAACACCGAATACTGCAATGCATGCAATAAAAACGAGTACTTTTTTACGTGCATCATCCTTGAATCCATTTACAAACCGATCTATTCGTAGTGCATTTTCTACAATTTCACCTGGCGAAAAAACATCGCTTGTCGATGATCTTATTCGAGGTCGTCTTCCACGAATATAAATTAAAGAGAATACGAATCTTTTTTTTTCTGTCTTTTTTCTTTATATTTAAATCTATATCTTTGCATAGGTCAATTAAAGTATTTGTATATTGATTCAAAATATAATCGAACACTTTTCTTGTTTAATATAACATTGATCGTTTAAAATATGTTTTTGCGTATTATATTGCGATCTTTTCAATATTTTCTTTCTTTCAATGTTACATTATTTTTTTTTGTTGCTTGGATTGTATTTGTTTCTTTTTTGGAAAATATTTTTGTTCATGTACGCTTTGCTTATGCGTGCTGTTTGTTAGATTAATAAAAGTACGATAAGATAGAATAAAGAATATCTTAAATAATAATTATAAAATCGCATTGTTCGAAATCATTTACTAACAATGGAAAGGTTTGTGTTGTTAGTAAAGGATCTTATATGTATTCAGGTTAAAATATTAGTTGCTATGGGCTTGCCCAGGGGGAGATATTCGAATTTTAAGGTATTTTCTGCGTATGTAATGTGTTCTCAAGCAAAAATCTCTCGCGATGGTTGGATAGAG